CACACAGCAGCATTTAGGATTTACGAGATTGCAAAAAAATAAAATCCCGTGACGCAATTTTTTTTTTTTTTTTTTTTTTTTGTACAGGCTTTCAATTTTTTTTCTTCCGTGCAAGCCGCGACCAGCGCAATACTGGTTCCTATGTCAAGATTCATGGATGCAGCGTTTGTCAAGATTCATGGATGCAGCGTTTATATTCCTAAGACTGAGTGAGTGGAAAAATATGTAAGCGAGGTGTGTTTCAGTTGACGGCACTTAAAAAACAAATGGCATTGATAGCACATTCATTGTCAACAGCGCGTGGCCGAACCGTTTCGACATGAGCCGGTAACCGTTATTTTTTTTCCGGTTCAGTTCCGGTTCGGGTTCATCGCAATAACAATACAACGGTTCGGGTTCGGGTTCAGTTCCGGAAAAAATACCGGTTCGGTTCTGGTTTTCGGTTCGGTTCCGGTTCGACACCCTGCTTTAAACTAAAAAATGTACCGCCAGGATATAGCAGTCTATCATATATACGAGCCTGATTGTTTCGCGTCTCGCTCTGGAGGCATGCATTGTCCTTAGCATGGCAGTATGCTGCAGCGAAGCAAGACACTCAAAATCACTATGCCTACTCTGCGGTTGTTGCTTCTTTGCAGTACACAGTGATGTGATTGGCCTAAGCCGTTTTGGAGCACCCTTTGGAGCAGCCAAAACAGTGTTTTGGAGCAGCAAAAGTGGCTTTTGGAGCAGCTAAAACAGTGTTTTAGAGCAGCAAGTGACTTTTGGAGCAGACATTCTTAGAAAAATAAAAATATCCGTTTGAAGTGCTGGACAAACGAAGGACACACTGCTTGCCGCAATAAACAAATTATACTCAAGTTAGACCACCTGGGAGTCTTAACATGTAACTGAAATGCCAGTGACGTGACACATTTTGCAGTGCTTCAGTTAAATGATACAAATATATGTACCATAGTGCACATATTAAAATTGATTTGAAAATGATTAGCTTAGTAGTAAATAGCACGGTATTAGGTTGACTACTGATAAAATAAATGAAAGTAGTCTCCAAAGGATGAAACACGTAACAACTGCAGTGCAATGCGAAATTGTCGCGCGAGCAGAGATGGCTGTTCGATAGAAACCCTGCCACGCCGCTCAGTCGCCAAGTGGTTCCCAAAATTGTACAGTGTAGACCGCATATAACGTATGTCGCGGGAGTCTCAAAAATCCGCACTATAAGCGGTAGCGCATTATAACCAAAACATCAATTTTTCAGGCCAAAATACATGCCATGAGACAACTTACAATTTATTTTATATTACTAGATGAAAAATAAAGCTTAGTTTGAGGAAAGTTTTTATTTCAACAGACTAGTACACTTCTCTCTCAAGTGTGTCACACATTTTGAAAGAAATGAGCGACTTTTGCCTAGTGCAGCCTTTTAACGGCGTCGCGGGTTGCGGACTGACGTTGCGAGCGTTCAGGATTGCTAACCCTAACCACTTTTCTCCGGTGATAAAAACGCGTGAAAATTCGCATCCTTTATACGGTACGCGCCAGTAATACCTTCAACTTGAGCACAGGCATGAAATGCTCTAAATAAGAAATCCGGGCGATGTTCGAAAACACAAATGCTTAGAAAGCACCACTGTAGTCGAAGTAAACAAACACGACGACACGGGCGTTTCTGCCGTCTTGAGAGTGCCGCCACAACATCGCCGCACGAGTAGGTGGATCTTCCCTTCTAGTACGTGCTGGGTTATCATAGCAACACACAACGAAAATTCACAGTCAAGGATAGCGCTTTTACGCGGAACGAACGCCGTCTACGTCGACGATCACAACCGACGCCATGTTTGCGGATAGAAGCAGCCGGCCCGCGACCGGCATGCAACGCGCGCGAACACTTTTCCTCGACCTGCGATTGGTCTGTCGTTGCGGTTGTTTCCAACACGACCAACTCTGGTCGTGGTTTCCAGCGCAGCGGAGGGACGCACGCACGTGAACGACACGTGCGTGCGTCCCTCCGTCGCTATGGCAACTGAAGCCTCTCTCTTCGCTTCTGCTCGGTTCTTCGAGCAACCTCCTTGCCCCGCTAGTGCCGCTTGCAGCTATCGCCGTGGCGCCGTCAAGTGCCGTTATCTAGTGTCGCACAGGGAAGCGTGCTCGCTCCGCCGGTCGGCGCGCTGTTCCAGAAAGCGCACTATAACCGGTATTTCCCTTCGCGAGCCTGCATTTTAAGTGGTATGTAATTACATGGAGTTCTATGGGAGGCGAACCGATGGTTTAAAAAAGCCACGTTATACTCGGTCCTGCACTATAAGTGGTTACGTTGTAAGTGGTCTATACTGTATACAAAATGTAACTGTCCAACATACGACAAGAAACAGTCCAGTGGCACGCGCTTGCCAGGCCAACAGGCAAGGTACAAGCTAAACACACAGGAAAAAAAAAAAAAAAAGAACCTGAGCACATTGATGCAAGACATTGCGAGTTAGGGCTAAAAAGTTCTTGGAGCGCTTTGCGCAACGACTGAACTAGATACAAACAAGCACGCTGTGCGGGTTCAGCGCCAACATGGCATTTTTCGCTTTACCTCACTTTTCTTCAACTTTCATTCGCGGCCGATTTTTCACATACTGGGGTTCCTCTCGAAAGAAAGCCTACCGAAAGAAACCTAGGTAATCTATACCTTGACACACCAGTCTTTGAGCTAGAGAAATTTTTGTAGTAGTGTATTCAACAAGAACAGGAATGTTGAACATGTGCTGGTTCTTAAGTTTCATTTTAGGAAGCGTTATATCTGCAGCGACGTGGGGACGGCAACACCCGACGTCGCGCGACTACGGTGACGAAAAGGCAGGGACCAAATAGTTTTCCCACGGCCGTTGCTTTCAGGAGAGAGTGCTTTAGCTCACAAAGTAACTCCCGCTACGCAAAAAAAGTGGTTTCGTTTCATAGCATGACGGCATGGCTGGTACCCCAGCACATTAGCGTCAGGGCGTCCGTCCACACAAACCCATCTTTAAAATTTAAAAAAAAAAAAAAAAAAAAAATGCGAGACGAGAGTTTGCAGCACGACATAGCGGGAAGATCCATGCAAGACCGGATAAACAATTGATGCAGGGTACTTTGTGTCAGGCGGCCCTTTGCACCACCTAGTTCACGCGTGCTCCATTGAGGTGCTCAGTTTAGTTTCGGTTTAGAAAGGCGACCAAAATTGGTTCTTTGGAGCAGATTACCCATATTTTGGCAAAATATAGCAGGATGTAGCAGGGTTAGCCCCTTGGTGCAGTTTGGCGCAATTGGCGCAGCAATCACATCACTGAGTACACCACTGCGCGGTAAAAAGCGCACTCAACGAGGCTAATTGCCTCCAGTAGAACACACAACAAACATGAGCATTATTGTGAAACATCCGAGTACTGTAAGTCCTTCATACAAAAAGCGATTGAATTGTACATAATTTGAGACAATAATCAAAAGTTCCGAAAAAACTCGTGAGCATATGGTAACGGTTCGGCCGAATAGAGAGGCCCGAGCTATTATATTTTCAGTATTATTCAATCGAAATTATGTTTTGGTGCAGCATTTGCACAAATTCCCCAGATTTTGGTAAAATGTAGGATGTGACAGGGTAAGCACTTTGGTGCAGCAATCGCATCACTGCCGTAATTAAACTCTCAGCCGACAATATGAACCAATGGGACCCACCTAGAGTGTCAAAGAGCAACATCATGGCATTCGTCCATCTTCCTGCGGGTGTTCTTTCATTGACTAAAGCAATCAAGTGCAGCGAACGCCCCGTGACACGCTTTTAGTACGAGTGTTCGTAGTTGTATGTTAGAGTAGGTGAGTAGAGACGCCGTAAAATATGTCTGTACCATTTTCATTTCTTCCTACTTCTCTCGATAATAGAGTCGACGAATATTAAATTGTTTCTATGTTTTGTTTTCTTTAAGACAATCTCAATGCAATTCTTAGCAAAAATAGAATTTTGGCACAAGATGTAGCAGACTTTCGTTCATGGCACAATTTGGCACAGTGCTTTCATCACTGAAAATCTTTTGAAAAAAAAAAATGTGACGCACATCCAGTTAGTAGATTACAATTGCAGGTAGGGTACGACGATCCCCAAAATTTCATCCAAACTGTCGACGCAACATTTTTATTCGCAGATGCGTATGCAAGCAGGTGCGGACAACCAAATTACTCTCCGTACCAGAGCTCTCTCTACCCACCCCCCCTCGAAGCGTAAAAGCTGGATCAGGCATTTGTCTCACTGATTTACTGGGTCACAACTACTTGCGACTGCTTACGAGATGGTTGCTACGACAACAGGGGTCGGCGCAATGCGTTGCAGTTGAATGTGAGAAGTTGCTATTCCCCGTCTGCTCAAACGGAAATGTCTGAACCAGTTTTAAAAGAAACACTGCACTCTGAAATTATTCTTTTTCTCTATGCCCAGATAGTATACATGTCTCCAATCAATTCACTAAAAGAAAAGAAAGAAAGAAAAAGTAAAATATTGAATATTTATGTCTGAAAGCAATTTTGAATTAGGAGCAATTTTGAAACATGTTCCAGATTCGAGAAACCATAATATCGAACCCCATTTCGAATTTGCTGAAGCAAGTCTAGCAAGAAATATGAAGATAAAAAAACTTCTTTCTTTGTGTGCAAACTTTATTTAGCAACATACTCGAGAAAAAAGTAGTAGTCTAAACACTCGAGATTAAAAGAAAAATTTCGCTGAAGTTTAGGGTTCCTCTAAAGCCGTGCCACACTGCTCAAACACCAAAAAGAAGACACACTGTTTGCCACAGGCACGTTTGCTTTGTGCGGACACATGCCACGAAAACGTCTGCGAGCAGTTGTTGCATGACCAACGTCGCGGGATTGTCTTACAAGAAACATGCCTCTAACGGCGTATGCAGGCAGTCCTTTCCACGGCGTATTTGTGGCCCGACCGCGGCTCGAGGCGACGAGGGAGGGAGAGGACAAAGTGCACTAACCTTCGTCAAAGTTGACCACGACCGGCTCGATGGCTTGGGGCAGAGTGGCCGTCAGGTCGGGCTGCTTGGGTCCCGCCGCCACCACCATGGCTGCCGCGGCCGCTGCTGCCTCCGCGGGCGACGCTACGACTGGAGCGGGCACGGGCAAAATCACTGCACCACCGCCCCAAGACCGAGAGAGAAAGAGAGAGAGGAAAGAGACGGAGGGAGAGAAAGGAGGAGAGAGATGTGAGCGGCGGACAGAGAGAGGGAGAGGCGAGCAAGAGCAAAGTGCTCGCGTCGCGGAGGCACCGGGGCAGCCTCTGCGGAAGATTGTGCTCGACTGGAACAAATGCCAAGCCTGCCCTTTCCGTATTCATCTTCTGCATGTGCCGGCCTCGAGTTGTTTGAATTCTCGTACACCCGTACGTCGGAGAGCTAAGTTAGCGCAAGGGACAACGGCGACTCGAACAATTGGTCGCTGACCGATAATTCGGACACTTTCAATATTGTGGACCTAACAAAGGAACCGTGACCCGATAGAAATGATATGTATTCATGGCTGACGTTTCGGACAGCTTGAAGTCCGAAGGTTCGATTTTTTTAACAAAACCGTTGCAAGCAATCGGCGGGAAATGCCGCCTAGAAGCTGCCATTTTAGATTCTATGTTAGCCATTTTAGATTCTATGTTGGCTGCACGTGGATTGGCTTGGTTCGGCAGTGCAACTTCTGCCAAGTTCTCCTACCGCTAGGCGATGCCACGCTACAACTTTTTTATTTTCTCTGGCTGTGTACCCTTTTCATCATCACTGTTACCATTTTGCTACACTCGTTCGCCACTCTGCAATCGTGGACTCTCGCCTCTCATTTCGGTAAATCATGTTTTCAGACTGCGTTGGCTTGGACGTAGTGGTTCTTCCGCCACCGTGAAGTGTCGCCAAGGGGCGTGAAAAGTACTCCACCATATTGCTAGAAAGGAAAGCGGCGATTCTCGAGGTAATAAAAAGTGACCGAACGCAAGCCGAGGCGTAACCTAAAGCAAGGCATTATTGACGGCGTTTCTAAGATTGCTTAAACATAAAGTCAAGTTGTTTATTTAATATGCCAATTTTTCTAACTCCTCAATCACAGTGTTTGCACGATTCTAACGCGCCCCCAATTCTAATGCGCGGGCAGATTTAGTTTTTAGATATTCAAAAAGTAAATTGCTGCCGATTCTACCAAGCAGGTAAATAACGATGATTGAACATACACCTCATAGAACAGATTTTATGAAACGCACGCCAACTTAAAAACAAACACTGTGCACTAGTCACTGTTGCCAGAGTCCGACCATGGTTCTTCACTTTCCACAGAGGCAATCCTTGCTTTTGCGCTTGTTCGAGTGCGCGACTATCACCCCTGAGAGAGTTGTCTTCCAAACAGCACTTTGCGAGCTCCTTGGGTCACTGGGATTGCGAGGCCACGCATTGTTGCTCCGTTATCTTTTCCTGCCAGCGTGATAGCCTTTTATTTGAATAAAATCTCCTAGTGAAATTTCTTCCGATTTTCCATCTTAAAACGGCAGGGAAACATTAGTCTGTAGACGCGAACGCATCCGCGTGAGACGCACACTAAAATGGCGAATGTAAACAAGCGGTCACGATGGCGATGGGGTAGCCACCTTATACCGATTATTGAAGTTTCAGTTTGGTTTTTGATTGTAATGCACATGTAGTTTTGGACACCGATTTTGGCGAAACTGGCCAGTCTTGACTTGGCCAGGCCAAGTCAAGCCAAGCCATTCTCGTAATGGCTGCAATTGCGTGGTTGCGGAAAGGATCAACCGTGAAACTGAGCGGAGCACACGCCTAGCGAAGCTGGGATTGAGAAATTGCCCAGCCCTGGACGTACTTCGTGCTTTAGATGTATTGATGTCACCAAACACGCCGTTCCCTGTGATCCACTTTTGGGCAGCGATATTGTAAAAGTGGTTAGGCCTAAGAACAATTGTATCGTCTCAGTGCTCAGTGAGCTATGTAACGCGCTTTTTCTTAAAAGGCATGCCAAAAGCACCGTAGAAAAAGAGCATGGTTACTGTGATGCACCCATGACCAGCCACGGGAGCGCCTTTGTCAGAGGAGACCTGCCACAGTACCCTGTCATGTCATACTGGCACCTAAAATGACATTCGCACAAAGTGTGTAAATGCAAAAATTTTTACCCCGCGTAATTAATGCACCCCCCAAATAGGTGTCAATTTTTCGGAAAAAAAAAGTGTTCATTATGCGAGTAAATAGGGCAATAAACAATGATGATTCTGATCTATTTAGAGGGTCCCAATTCTTAGACGTGCAGTGCCATTACCCATAGGTTCTGAAACTTCCCTACTCCAGGGAACACTTGCTACCTAGACTGGCAGCTCCTTTGCCCCAAAATTAAGCACCGTTGTCGAAGAATGGCAAGCAGACTGTTTGCTGCAAGGAAGACAATCCTCTCAGAGCCCTCCTCCACTAACTGAGAAGATATGGGGAAGGTGGAAATAAGAGTGGAGAGAGCAAAGTGTACACTGCCCTTAAGGTGCAACGGTTAAAGAAGGAAGGTTCTTCATCCAGCCCCTTCCAATAAGGAGAAGTTTCCAGTTCAGAAAAGAAAGTGGTGTCGGACGACTCTGTTAAAGCAACCACGAAATAATATTAGAGTTTCAAGAGTCTGTAAAGGGTAGTAGACACAAAAAGGAAACCTGGACTTCACAAGATTTTATCCAGTACCACATCTACCGTTTCGGGGCAGTTACTTACAAAACTGTAAACTCGGCAGAACTTATCCAAACGTCGCTCTTTAAAAATGAAAATGATAAGCAAGTTCTTGAATTGCTTAAAAATTTGAAAAGTTAGTGTTACAAATTAGTGAGTTCAGTTTAGTATGCTGTAGCCTGTTTCTGGACAGAAGATAGCCCACTGAACCATTTTACCATGGGCCAAATACCCCTGACCCCAGCGGTCCAGCACAATTTACCGAGCAAAGCTACCGTATTCACACGGCTGTAGGTCGAACCGTTTTTAATTTTTGAGAACCTGAACTTAGGGAGGGGGGGGGGGGCCGACTTATAACCAGAACTGAAGCATTGCATTGCTAACAAAGCCGAAACAGCTGCAGTATAGGAAACCTCTTAGTTCACTATGGGTCCAGCCGGCTGTACCCGTAGCACGGCGTCATTCCGTCCGCTCGCTTTGCAATTACTTTTCTTTCATCTGCGTAAATGGGAATTGTGATTCACATATTGGAGCAAAGCAAACTGCTGAAACAGCCTCACTCAAAAGCCTCCGATTGGACTTACAATCTTGTTGACTTACAACGGTGTAAATACGGCAATTAAAATTCACCGCGTAATAACCGGATTATTTGCCGCCCCGCAATAATCTCGACGTTCAGCTGGCACTTTGCCGGTAGCATCCCATAAACAGTCTGACGACCAGCGCGTCGGAGGGAGACATACAACTCTGCCCCATCTCACTAGTTGCTTGCAATGCTGTTGAAGCCACAGCGGGAAAAGAAAAAAAGCCGCTTTCGTAATTATTTCTAGCGACTCTTCCGGGGAGGTACAAATGTGAGGTCTGACACACGCAAAAGAAGGCAGGGGTAAGCGAAAAGTTCCTCCTGCCCTCTATTCCAACAGCTTCGGTTACGCTCTTGCCCCCATACTATCGGTAAGGGCTGCCACGCGCTTTGCCTCCAGTCATTCTCATTGGCTCGAGGAAGCCGTTCGCTCCCTGCCAAGATACGGCAGGAAAAAAGCATGGCAAGGCCCAGAGAGGGAGGAGAGAGAGGAGGACTCACAGCCCTGTGCCCGCTGCTGGCCCAGCACGTCCGGAATGGCCGCCCTCGGCCGACTGTGCAGGAACACGCAGTGGGGCTTGCGGCAGCCGCTGGGCTGGTTCTCCCAGTAGCAGGGGATCTGGGACCGGTTCTTCCTGCTCTCCATGTGCCGGAACTTGCAGGTCTTCTTGAGGCAGTTGCCCTCCTTCCAGGCCGGGCACACCGTCTCCGTGCCCAGGGCTGCTTCGCAGTGCCGGAAGGGGCAGTCGTCCCCCTGCACCCGCACAGGGACGTCAAGCAATGTGCAAGCGCGAGGGGGACGCAGCAACGCGGAACCAGAGTGCAAAGAAAGAACATTTGAAATTATCCGAGACATACGCCAGGGAGGAAGTAGGGAAAGATTACTTCGGTGGTGGTCCGGTATGGTATTCTATACGGCACATTCTACAAAATTCTGTGCAGCATTTTTTTAATTTTCTTACGATACATATTTTATGCAGTATATTTTTGAAATTCCTATCCCATGGTACTCCCTACGGTTCAGCGACTCAATTTTACAAATTTTCTGAATCGACAAACAAATTCTAAAAGACCATATGTGAAATGTAGAGTGCCATGCAGTAAGTACCGTACTGAGAACTACGTCCGCCATCTTGGTAGCGGTGAGAAAACGAAAACACTGACTGAACCGGCAAAGACCCCATGTAAACAAGCGACTGCGCTTCGTGCGAGACAGGCATTGCCAACGCGTTGCTGCGTTTCGCTGCGGATTCAGCGATAAATCTTCGAATGGCAGCTTGATGGAGGAAGGCCCAGAACACGGTGCCGATTCCTGCAAAATCCGTTCTGGAGCATTTGCACGGGCTGTGCTTAGTTATTTTTCATTTGTATAAAAGAGCTTAACCCTAAAAGCATGCCGTAAAATGTGTACAAGCCCCTTCCTCAGAGACACGGGTGCCTACCCTGCTTTCTGCAAACATTGAAAGTTCCTCCAGCCTAGAAACAATGGTATGCCAGTAATGAAGATTGACTTGGCTCTTGTTAAGGGGGGACACTGGCTAGAGATGCAACTTCTGAACTGCTCAAGTGATCGGAATGATATTTGCAGGGGAGATTCAACTTCAGATGTAGTGTATCGTGCAAACTTTCAGCTCTCTACGACACTTTTACGGACTCGCACAAGATGTGCCCCCAGTGATGGAAGTGTCATTTGACCTTTTGGAGCAGGCCTTGTAGCAGGCGAAATGTTGTTTTGGAGCAGGTAGTGGCCCTTTTGGAGCAGGGTCCGGCATATGTTGGCATATTACTTGAAAGTGAAATAATGCTGCATTGCTATATAAAGCCCATCTCTATTATTGGAACACAGCGCCTGTCGCCTTTTTAAGATAGGATATATAAAATTCAACAAAGTAAACACAAATTTTTTTTTTTAAATAAAGTTTATCTGCCCATCAGAAAAAAAAGTACAATTAAATATGTCACACTGAGTTCTGATGGTACAGGATATTTAGTTTTATCAGCCTGCAGTTCTTTCAAGGTATCTGCAGCAGCATCTAACGACCCTCACTGTTGTGGAATGTTTTAGTTCAGATTAGAGTTGTCTTTCGGGCAGCAGCTTCAAATATCGCGGTATCTGATATTCGCTTCAACAATTCCGATTCATTTTCGATGTGCTGGCGAAGTCACGATCGGATCACGGCGAGTTAACCCGTTGAGTGCGCTCCTTGGTATGCACCGACGCGCTGCAGAGAAGCGACACCCGCGGAGCAGACACCGCAGTCGCGCGAGTCGCGCAGTGCTTTGTGCTTCAAAAAGGACGGTGAGGCTTTACCAGCACTACATCCAGAGTTTGGTGCAACTGAACTATACTTCGTTTCAGCTTCGGTGCGAGCGCAGCCGAAGCTACAAGCGCGCGCATGGAGCCCGTAACAGTGCCCACACTGCACGAGCCCACGCGCGAGTCAGGAATGCACAGAGCATTGGGCTCGCGCTAGCTTTGACTTTGCTGGTAGCTAGCGCACGGGAACAGGGCGGGCCAACATTAAAAACATCCACAAACTCGGCTTTGCTTTTTTTTTTTTTTTTTAATAGGCTGCTCAGTGGGATGGCTTTTCGCTTAGCCTCTGCGGCTTTGGTCTCAGATGTTGCTAACGTTGTTCTTTTCAATGATGATGATGATAATGCGCCCTCGCAGTTTCGGTTTGCGTAACAGTTGCGGAGCGCAAAATACCGCGGTACCGCCACGCGCTCTGATAAGACTTCAATTTTTATCTTTTTATTGCTACATCTCCTCTCGGCGCAGGCATGGCGGAATTCTTCGGTAAAATGACAATTTGGCGCTACATGTAGCAGGATTGCGTCCTTGGCGCAATTTGGCGCAATTGGCGCAGCACTTCCATCACTGTGCCCCTCTTTGTTAAAAAATCTATTAAATGAAGCTATTAGGCCGAAAAAACAGACTTGAACAGCCCAGCATACGTGTGTTCGGGCGCCGTGGCCCGCGCCGGAGAGCCTCAAAGCTTTCTGTCCTGGGACTGACCCGCAGCGCGAAAGCAAGAGGGCCCCCAATAATGTAAGTCACTGGCAGCGCGGCGTAGAGCAACGCCGCTCCATCCACGGAGCCCCGATGACAATTTAGGCGAGTACAGAAAACCGCACACACCGCGACAGCCACCAAGTACGGCACCGTACGAGTTCATGGGTTTTCCAATCACTAGCCTATGGGTATACAAGCGCCAAGTACGGCATAGCGCACGCACGGCAGCGGCCGCCGAGTACGGCATTATACGAATCCACGGGTTTTTCAGTCGCTAGCTTTTGGGTATACGCACTAACTCAAGCTACATATGCTGGATAACTACCACGCATACAGAATTAAAACAAAATCAGCTCACCTCCTACCCTTAGACGGCTAGCACAACAGAGGTAGGTGCCGCTCGGCCTGCGTACTCGTTGAACGAGAACAATCCTGACGTCACGTCCACATAGCGACTGATTTCTAGCGTTGCCGGGGCCTCGAGCGGCTAGTTTCAGTTTTGTCGGTCGTACCCCAAACAAAACTTTGAGGCGTCGATATCTTTAAAACTACGCACAATAATGAGAAAAAAAATCCACCTTGCAATTCAGGGACGCTGACTGCACTAAAAACAGTCATAATCCCAAAATCGAAAATGTGGACCGGAGTTACCCTTTGAGGAAAATCTTGATAGTTTTACCAGAACGCAGATGGTTTGCATGGGACGTCATTCAAAGAGCGCTTTGATGACCACCAGAGAAGAGGGCAAGAAGGAGCTCCCCTCTTATTAGGATCATCTTTTGTGCCCCCGGGGTTTGCACAGGCGTCACTATTCTCCTCCCAAAAAATTATAGAAAATTAACCAGTTACTCAAATTTCTAACGAAAGCAGCTTCCTTCTCCTCCTCTTACACGGTGGTGAAAAGTATGCGATGTGGCATCAGTGCAACCCATGTATACTTTTACTTTGGAACAAAAGATTGTTTCCAATGAAATTTACAGCAAAAAGTGGAACCGAAAAAAATGCATTCACTTTTTTACTGCCCATAAGGTATTGAAAATATTTTATATCAACGTAACTATTTGGCATATGGTTATCAAATTTAGTATAAGGGTGTGTAATTAGTTTCTGAAAATGAAAACCCGAGTTAAAAAATTAAAATTTTCAAAAAACTTCGACATTTAGGTTAATGTCCCTTCTTAGAGGGACACTGACAGCCCCCAAAAATATTGTTTCTTTTGCCAAACGATATACTATACACTCCGTGCGACGCGACCGGCGCGCCGCCGCGCGGCCGTTGCCGAAGGTAGGCAGTGAGAGCCTCTGCGAAACGAAACCACGCCGCGCGCATAGGTACGCAGTGAAGTCGGAGCGGTGCGGCTGCGCTGGTTAACAGCATGAACTGCTGCGTGGTTAAGTGCTCCAATAGTTAAACGTCGTATCTCGTGGAAACGAAGTTTCACAGTTTTTCACCTCGCCGATGTTTTGTGGGACAGTGACAACGATGGACCCGTGCCGTACGACTCGAGAAATTTGGTCTCCCGATCATGCCTGCCACTGTGTCGGCACGGCTGACATATTCTACACTGCCGCTTTGCACTCTGCGTTCGTTTTCGTACCAGTAACGCCTACATATTTCAGCTCGAACTGAGATGCCATCCCACACTCGCGCGTATGCAGTGCGAATTTCGTTGAAGGAATGCCCACGAAAAAAGTTTCGTCCCCATCGTACGTGTCTATGATATTTCCGGACTAGTGTGGCACGCGGTCTGTACTCCATGAAGAAAGATTCAGACGGTACAAAAAGTGACAAATATGAATCTAAGGAAAACTACAATAAAACTTGGAATCACTGGACAATTGATGTTTGAGTATGGAAGTTTATCTGGTGTCCTTTCTTTTTTTGATCAGCCTCCTTTTGGATGTGGAAACGCTGACACCCCGAGTCTTGTAGACAACAATTTTTTTTTTCTCGGCTTTAGAGCCATTTATTGCAAAGTTATTCGAACTGGAAGTACCGTTCCACTGGTCCCTTCCTAATCCTACCTGTAAAGTGTGCACCTCCCGGCCATGATGAGTGGTATTCTCTTGACAGCCTTTGACGGTCAAAACCGGTTCCCATTTAGTTACGCTGCCCAAAAATATTTCCACCTGGTTAAACTATGCCACCTCTTTTAGGCATAGTAAGTGTTTTGTCAAGTTGCGGTTGTCAAAGTGCCTGTGTGCCAAAAATCAGCACCTCGCTCAACAAGATTACTATACAACAGCTGACCGCAAAAGCCTTTGACGGTCAAACCATGTGTTGGCCGGCAACTTGGTTTTCTCGGCTTTGAAGCTACCTTTCGCAAAGTTGTTTCAAATGGAAGTACAGTGCACTTAGTCCCTTCCTACCTGTACAGTCTCCATCTCCCACGACACGTGGTATACTCTTGAGAGCCCTTTCACGGTCAAAACCGTTTTCCCTTCAGATACGCCGCCCAACCCAATTTTCCACCTGGTTTCCCTATGCCACCTATTTTTGGTATTATAACTGTTGTGTCAAGTTACGGTCATGTCCAAGAACCTGTGTACCCAAATCTGCACTTCGCACAGCCCGGTTATAACACAACATTTTTGGTCCAATATTGGATATTCCTGAGAGCTTTATTCGTTCAAACCATAACCCTCACACCTGCTGCCTTAATAAAACTTGGCCCACTTAGTGCACAAACTTAGTGGACATCTCACTCGCCTCGAAATATAATCGTCCCAGCAGCTTTACATTTACAGCGACGAGCGAAACAAATTTCCCACTGAGAGCAATTATGGTGGCGGCCGTCTTGCTTTTTCGGAAAATTGCTCAAGCCCCTTTTTCGACCGCAACTAAAGGAATTATTTCTAATACCGACTCAAACTTAATATATAAGAAGCAGAGAACAGCTAAATACCCTTCTTAAATCTGCCCCAGCACTCATGCAACGTCACCCTCAACTTATCGGCTCAAAAAGCAAAACTTCCGTCCTTGCGCGCTTCCGCCGCCACAGCTTCGCACGCGAAAAGGCGCCGCAGGCTGCTGAGCGCGCCTCACTGTCAAACGCCAGCTCCTCCGCTAGCGGCGCTACGCGCGCTTTTCAAAGCGCCCCCTATAGTTCCCACACGGAGCGTATAGTGTCGAAAGACTACCCAATCAATATTTTGCTACAGCGTCGAATACATTTTTAATAAAGTAAAAATATGGAACTGCTCGAGGCATAAACTGGCAGGGAAAGAGTTTTGGTTCTTTGCAAGTGCCAGACCGAAACCAGAGCACGGCAAAGGGCACCGAGCGTGTGCCGGAGGCCGCACATTCGAGAGGTGCGCCCCGCGGTTCCCGTCCGGTCATCCACCGTAGGCTTTCCAATTTTTGCGAGGAAGAGAGGGAAGAGGGGCGATCCCACTCACCTTGGTGCACGTCGAGTAAAAGTAAAAGTAGCAGTCGTCATTCTTCCTGTCATGGTTGGCAGCCATCACTTTTGCTTGGTGCTACCTCGGGCTTTGGGCTTCTTCCCCAGTCACGCTCAAACCTGGTTCCAATCCCTCAACTAGACGCTGCCACCTCGCTCCTCCTCTGCAACGAGAGAGACGCCACGCCGTGGGAGGGTCAACTCGCATTGATCGGTGCGTACGGTGGGGCCCATCAGTTCCTCCTAGGCTACGAGAGTGTGAACGACTTGCCTCCCCAAAATTTACAATTTTACCGTACACACCGACGAGCCTCGTACTAATAATGTAGCTCTCGCAACCTTCAAATGACTTACTCTATCGCTTTTTATGCACAATTTTTCCAGCTGCTATGCACCCCTTCGGTTCTGCGCCAAACCCAGACAATCTTTGTTGCGGTTGCATCGAAGAAAGGGATATCTTTAATAGACCCGAAAAAAGCACACGGTCTAACTGTACAATCCTGGGGAAAAGTATGGGGACAGACCCCCTACATTTCTACCTAAAAATAAAAATGAAGTTTATTCGCAAAAAATTGCAAACACTGGCCCACTTAGGCGTACTACGCCTGTATGTGCAACCCGACAGCGATTTCGCAGCTTTCAATAAACAGGCATAAAACACAAATGAAATTACGCATCAACACAGCAATAATTTAGAACTATCGCAAGTACATGCAAACATATAGAGTTAAAAAAAAATGCACATAGCACAGAAACTGACATTCTATGAAATATAACGAAACCTAAGTACAAATTACATAAAAAATATTACAAATTTACAAAACCGAATCATTTTTTTTAGAAATAACCAACATGAAACACATATATTTTAACTCTACCAGATGGAGAAAGGCAGAACTTGCTCTGTTTGCATTCTATGGGATAGGTTAATGTCTTTGGGTAGGTCATTTGACGTGGCAGGAACACACCACCTTCTGTCATTGCAGCAACATACCACGAGTCGTCTATTCCGGTATATAGTACACATTCCTGAAACGGCACAAGCACAAGCTTCCACAGGCGCTTCGATTACCCACCGAGCAGAGTGTGTTCCCTTGTGCTACCCCAGGAAGGGGCACCGCCTTACAGTCCGGGCACGACGAAGGACGAAGAGTGGCGAGGGCACGGCAGCCGGCCGGGAGAGGACATCCTAGTCGCCACCAGCACGCATCAGGGTTGGGCAGCCTGCAAGACGGTTGTGGCAGGCACCGTCAATGCACGGGGCACAAAGAAAGGCCTCGCGGCACGCGCACCAACACTTGAAAACTGGTCGATCTCGGCCCGGTCTGACCGTGCCACGGCTGCTGCATTGCGTTGGGGGAAACTAGTCCTGCATGTGCGGCGACCTCGCCGGAGGCTGCACAAGACGCCGCATTCGCTGCCGCCCGCCGTTTAAACTCGTGACGGCGTTGCTGGTGTGCTGAAAGCTCTGCAAGATCGACCCGTTCACACACACGTCACGATGTCGTGTCGCTCGACACTATTGGCGAGTGCCGAAAGTAGCGTCGACCTCGCCGATGCGGAACTGTCACTAGTGCCGATATAGCACTGCGATGTGTTTGCGAACCGGTCTCCAAAATGTACAGTGCGGCTTCGCAAAGTGCCTTTTGCTTCCGGCAAGCTGCGTTCTGCCTCGCCGACAAGCGGCGGCGGCCCCTTTCCGACCCGTGCGGACGATCAGTCATTGGTGTCGTTTTCAACGTCTGGGAAACGCGGAAGCCCAAGGAGTGGCTCCACCGATGACGGGACCAAATTCGTTCCCCAAAGGTTGCGTTTGGGCCGCAGACACCCGCTCGCAGTGAGTCTTTCTGTTTCGGAGTTGTTCCAGAGCATCTACGGGACCGTTTAGCCTGCTGACGAGTGTACCCGTCAAAAACCAGCTCGTATGCACTCCAAACGAAGACCAGTACGCATAAAAAACAGCTTCGGACGACTCTCCTCCGCGTCACCGATTACCCCGGCAGACACGAGCAATCGCAACGCGGCTCGAGAAGCTGGAAAACACTCCCTCCAGGCAAAGAAAGACAAGGGCAGAGGCTCATCGACGTGTAGATATTTCAAGACCCAAGTATGTCGCGTGAAACTGTCCAATATTTCGCGGCATATGCTCGGGTGCCAATGTTCCGAATCGCACTCCTGCCTATATCAATAGGAATGGGTACTGTATTGTTGAGCATTCGTGTAGACCCAAGGATAAGTCCTACGGCACTGAACAAATTATCCCCACGTAACGGCGACACATTCCACTGCAATATACGAGCAAGAGTGTTTAAATGTGCAGCACGAGCAAACACCCGAGGCTACGAACGAGAACATACGTGAGCGAATACAGACTTCCCAGGCACAGGCACAAAGTTGAAGCCGTACAGTACAGCCAAAGCTACATGATATCATGATGTAAAATGGATGCGTAGATCGACAGTCGGATGTGGCTCCGAATTTTGCAGAGGCGGTTTGGATGCGGACAGTCTGCGGGTGTATAACAGATGCGCATACAATTATTTAAGAACATTGCAGATGCGGCTCTGATGCGGATATAATGTCTACAGATGCAGATGATAAAACTTATCCGAGCAGGGCTCTAGTGCAGACCTTACATGCTGGTATATCCAGTGAAAAACTTCGAGGCACAACTGATGTTAAAGGGGCAGTGCAACGGTTTTAATGTTGAAAGAATTGCCAGTTTGCATTTTTTATATTATTTATACAGGCCCAAGTGACCAAAAACTCGTCACCTTTCACCAAAAACGGCTATTCTGCTGCGTAATCGCAAGGCAAAAAGCAAATTACGGCTATTCTGCTGCGTAATCGCAAGGCAAAAAGCAAATTATTTGCCGATCTGCAGCCGCCAGTGGTGGCTATGGGAACTAAAGTGACGGCGTCTCTGGGGGATACGCGGAAGTCAACAAACCCTGTCCCCCTCCGCTGCTACACTCGCCGTCAGCCCCGTGGGAAACCGTCGTTTGTGTTCATCGCTCGCTGCGACCTTAGACGAGGCTAATCCTTTGAAAGTCGACAATAGCGGAGGAAGCGGCTGGGGTCTCTGAAGAGAGGGCCCAAGGGGAAACCACGTGAGCCCCCAAAGACGTCACTCAAAACTCGGCGCGGAGAGTTGAGAGGCACTTCGACCTTCGATTTGTTTAATTTTTTTAAACAAGAACTAGCGCTCGCAAGAAAATGCGGCTTTTGGTTTTTCGTTTCATACGTGACGCAGATTAATTTCCACAGTTAATTGGCCAAAGTCTGAAAATCGTTGCACTGCCCCTTTAAGGACGTTTGTATCGGCAACATGGATGCCACGCCTGCTACGACCACCCTAAAAAGTCGTCACATTGCACTTAGGACAGAGCAGCTAAACTTCACTCTTTTCAATGTGCTGCTTGAGGAAAATTCTTCAGCAATAAAAAAAATATTTAGTCTGGTGTTACAACGAGCCATAAAGGAAACATAAAAGAACCCCCCTCCTGGTATATTCTCGGAAGCGCCTACAGCACCTCTTTTATATTGATGACTTATCACCCAAACTAAAGAGGATGATGTTAACGGCTCTTAATCATTTACAATTAGTGTGGTCATATTAGGTATAATTCCTGCGTACACTCTGCCGCACTGGTAGTGCGAACAAGCCATCGTCAATTTTCTGTTTTACTCTTAGTATCGAAGGACTGTCATCAAAACTACTATAATGATGGAAAGCACTTGGTTAGGGTACTAACCTTTTGAAGAGGAGAAAAGTGCTCAAGTCATGTTTGCACTAACAGTGTCCCAGTTTACCTCCCCTCTCCTGCTTGGGCCATTTGGCCTGCAGTATGCATATATAAAATAACTAAAATCTATGACCCAATGATATGGGTCATTCTGTAACAAAGCCAGCGTAGTAGATATACACTGCACTGCACAACAGTGCCCGTGACCTCGCACATTCTGGGCAATGCAACAAGTTATATTGTCATCAAGGAAAAAAAAAAAAAGACCTGGGAAGCGTTGCTACCTTACTTGCTTTTGAGGGGACTAAGTTAATTCAGTGTTCTTGGCACGATGCCCACACACAATATAGCTGCCCGCTTCACATGTGTCGCCCGCACGGAACCTCCCCTCTCCACCTGCACCCCAAAAAGAATAACAGGAAAGCGAAGCCCCCAAAATAAGAGCAATGCCAGCCTCCTTCGAGCGACCCAATTAAATCTGCACTTTGTGATCGGGGGACCTTCACTAGCCGTTCACCCAAGCTGCGGGAGTTCCAGTGGAAACTCAAAAAGGAAAAACAAGAATGCAAACCCCTTTGAACATCACGGATGACAACAGCCAAAAAGCTAAACAGCAGATCCATTGACGAGTGAAGTGTTGCCCTCTTGGCAACCAATCAAAAATTAAAGAACAAGGCCATTAAGATATAGAAAACAATAACTTAAAAAAATAAAGATGATTAGAGCCATGAATCAATTCAACGCATGTCCCACCTTATCCCCTGCCTCCACTCATTTTATCAACAGACTTCTTCCAAAACCGACGCGCCCCATCGCGACGAAATACCACGCAGCGCACTCTGGGAACTACTTGGCCGCTCAGTTTTTGTTTCGAATGAACAGGTTCATCTCATGCTATCACGCCGCAACCGAACAAGCTGATTGCATTTTCGATTATCTGACTTTTTACGAATGTACAATACACTCATTCTCAAGCGATACAAAACGAAGATCGGGACACTTTCCTTGGTTCCCGAAACACCAGATATTGTGCGTGCGTACGCAAAGGTACTAAGACATGGCAGTCACCTCACCCACAAGTGCATCTTTGAGCTCAATGTCAGTAATCCCGTCTAGTACCAGTGAACTACAACTGAAATTCGGTCACCCTGAGCCCTACACATATTTTGTTTGCCCAACGTCCGCTTCTTGTTCCTTCATTGGGCAAAAAGCAAGCCGCACCTTTACAGGATTATCAGAGTTGAGCCCAGCGTTGGCGCATGAACTTTTAAGGAAACGCAATAAATTCGACCTCACTACTGCACAAAAGTTACTATGATGTCTTCCTCGTGTCATCACATATCTTACACTCAAATTTTATGCTGATAAAAGATAAGTTTTCGCAAACACTGAGATCGGCTTGCTACGACGGAGGCCCTAACAAGCGTCCCCACTCCTCGGTAAGCCTTTTTGAACGAGCTTTTCCTGACGCCCAAGATCTGTGCCTGAACAGTGTGTCTGAAATTATCTCGGCATACTCGGTCAGCTAGGAAGAAAGCAAACACATAAGAAATATATTATAACCATTAGCAACCGTCAAATGCGCTTTGAATAATTTTGTTTGTTTGGCGCACCGCGTAGAGGTTCATATGCCCGTCCGGCGCACTTCCGGTGAACGATGCGACATTCTTCACACAAGTGCTCGACTTTTGCTTTCTTAAAACGGTTTGTATGTGCGAATGTGCCTGTATGATTGCAGGATAACTTTATGCACATACACAATGTTGAATATTAGTTGAATGCAAGTGGGTGGAAACTTCACTTCGTACAGTGCTGCGGGGCAGTAGGGATAAGAGATGAGAAATGTGTTCAAATCGAGCTTTTCAATGGCGCCTCCGAGTTTTACCTCGCGTGTGCTCAGGCGTATTAAAAAAGACAGTAATCGCAAAAAAGTTATATTTTGTCTGTGGACGCACGAAACAAACTTCCTGATCAACAATACTAATGTAAAGGCTCGAGCTCAATGTATGCATACTGATTCGTTGCTACAGCTTGCTGATTCGCACACAAGCAAGATCCCCGAGCTTCGCAGCGTCGAAATTCCCAGCACTGGCTTGTCCACCATACCTCGAAACGCTAACAGAAAGGCTCAAGTACAAAAATACAACAAACATGCGTTAAGACAAGCTACACGTCTCGGGCTTGTGCTAAAGGTTCGAGGTGTGGCCATTTAGGTTAGCTTATAAGGACACAAATGACGCTCTCGGGACCAGAAAGCATGAGATAACTGCCGTTAATAGTCCACGCTCTGTGTGTGACCTCTTGTCGACCTGTTGATCGAAACCGAAACCATGCCAATCTCCTCCCTGGCCAACTAGTTCCCAGAGTGCAAAGCGCACCGTGTTGCATGCAGGGCTTTATGGAAGTAGTCTATTGGGAAGGTAAAGTTTATTTTGCCTTGCCGCTGATCCACACTACAAAAGGCCCGCACCATCCCCC